TGAGATGTGCTCAGCACCAACCCATCACACCTTTTGCTCAGCCTTCCCGGCCCGATTCATGGCCTTGACAGTTTTTGTGGTAGTTTTTGTGGCGGCTTTCTTTGCTGCTATTTCCAGTGGGCTTGTCTCGCCACTGCAGGATGTGAGTGGCCGCGTCTAAGGCAGAAAAATCATATTTCACTTGTGACCTTTTGTGGATTCTGATGAAGGAGCACTGACAGATTTTGATTGGTGAGATGCATGTGTGCTATAGTCTCCGGCGTTGCTGCTATGCCATGGCATCAAGGGTTTACTGTAATCAGTTTGCTCCAAAGATCCAAGCAGCTCTTTAAGTTGATCGGCTGATACAGTAGGGCCGAATTTCCATCCATAGTTTGAAAACAATATGGAACCAGCAAGGCTTCATATGTTTTCTTATTCCCTCATGTTGATGCATTTGTTGAGCATCACATACATAGTCTCTATTCACTATGCTGTGTAAACCGTGTAAACCGTTTTTTTTCTTCACGGAGCCCGGCTTCAAAAACTCTGTCTAAACTGTGCTCTCCATCCTTTGCCGAGAGTCCGAGTCATTTTTAAGCGCTGTATTTCAGACCCATCTATGATTTGGATGGTGCTGTGAAGACGACGGCTATCCACCTTGGTTCACGATTGCCGAAGCGGGGCTTTGTTTGCCAACTGTGGCAATTGGATCGGCAACTGGATCTCGTGTTCATTTGATAAATTTTTGATACGCTGAGGATCTCGGACGTTTGCCAGTACATAGAGCATGTGGTCGCGCTACAGGTTGGACTAGGGCACCGCAGACTTTTGTAGTTTGGGGTCCATATAAGCTGTCTTTTGCTTTCATTTTTTGGGAAACATGTTCGCCAAGGCAAAATGTGCAAGAACCACATTCGGAACTCTGAGTGCGACGCTGATACCTCTTTCACCGGCGTTTTGATTTGCTATGAGGAGTCTGATGCCAAGAGTGAGAAGCGGCAAACTGATGCTGCCGTCGCTGGGCTGGAGGATCGTGTGCAGGCGAGGTTGGTGCAGTTTCAGCTGAGGAATGAATAAATGGGAACTGGCCGGTGGAACAAATTTGAACAAGCGGCCAGGGTTGGTGTTGCTACCTTGCAGGTTTTGGAGGTTGCATTCAACGATTGTCTCTACAGGACTGATGCCCCAGCCTCAAGGTCTTTGTTCCTCGTAGCCCCTCGTAGCCCCTAGTAGGGGGCTTGTGCTGATGATTTGCCGTAGTGACTGCTTTAGCCACAGCGTTTTGTTATGTTTTGTTGAGATCCAGTCGTGACCCAGGCAGGTAGCACGGTCTACAACGAGGTGCTATCCACTCGTCCGCCAGGCAGACGCGCCCGGTGGCACGGTGTTTGGACAGTTTTTGGATTTTTGGATATTTTGGCAGATCAAAACTTGGCCACAATGAGTCTAAGATGTCCGAACACATTGTGACATTGACCTTAAACATCCTTAGACCACTCTTAGCCTCTATACAATTTCTATACACATTTGCTGCGATGGAAACGCTGCCAGGATCCGACGCTGTGGACTCCATGGACTTTCCGCCAAGTAATTTTCAATCCGACGTCCCGACGCATGGCCAAGTGCGATCTAGTGCCCAAACTGTTTTGACATGTCATACATATCAAATCATATCAATAAAAAACATAAAGACATAAATAAAGAAAAGTAGTATATTATATATATATAATATATATATATACATAGGTATATATATACTTAAGTGCCATAGCTGTTGCCGCATTGCCGTTTTGCTGCTGCGCGGCACCATTGGATCTGCCCAGCGCACTGCCAAACCACCTGTGCTGCTTGTGTCCAAGCTGTGGGAGGTAGCGCGGCCAGGCCCCCCCGGGTGGGGGGTGGGCAACTCAAAACCTAATCACCTGGGCCAAAACCTACACATGCTACAACTGTTCTGTGCCCCAAAGTAACGGTTTGAAAACCTCCAACTTAAGTGCCATAGCTGTTGCCGCATTGCCGTTTTGCTGCTGCGCGGCACCATTGGATCTGCCCAGCGCACTGCCAAACCACCTGTGCTGCTTGTGTCCAAGCTGTGGCAGCTAGCGCGGCCAGGCCCCCCCGGGTGGGGGGTGGGCAACTCAAAACCTAATCACCTGGGCCAAAACCTACACATGCTACAACTGTTCTGTGCCCCAAAGTAACGGTTTGAAAACCTCCAACTTAAGTGCCATAGCTGTTGCCGCATTGCCGTTTTGCTGCTGCGCGGCACCATTGGATCTGCCTAGCGCACTGCCAAACCACCTGTGCTGCTTGTGTCCAAGCTGTGGCAGCTAGCGCGGCCAGGCCCCCCCATCTTTCAGTGTCAGGTGTAGTGGATATACTGGTCCACGTTTGCCATCTTCTGGCTGAGGCCTTTCAAGACGTCTCCCGAATCGTGCAAGTATCGATGCACTGCTGAGCTCGTCCATCTTCCGGTACGCTTGACCAGCTCCACCTCGCCTGTTGCTTGAAAAAGCGCCGACGCCCCTCCTATCCTCAAAGAATGCGACTGGAACCGCTCTGCCGGCAATCCCACCGCCTTGGCCGCCTTCTGAAGGATGTTCTGGATCTCAAGGCGCTTCACAACTCCACCTGTAGCCCATCGGAAAAGGGGAAGATGTGATTCTGGTCCGGAAAAACGTCGAGGCACCACTTCGAACAGCCGCCGCAACGCCTCCACCACACATACGTGCTTCACGTTGGTCTTCAGCATGGTTTTGCATGTCCCAAAGGCTTCCTGGTCAGCCTTCGTTTTTCTGAACTGGATCGTGGCTTCTTCCACCTCCTGGCCTTCTTTGGCTGGCTGTCCACCATTGGTCAGCACGACATCTTGGCCACGCAAGATCATCTCTTCGTCCACTCCACTAGAATCGGAGTATTCCTTTGCCCTCATCATGAAGAACCATGCCGTCAATAGGGCCGCTTGTAGCATCCGACAGTCCACCTTGAGCTCCCCATGACTTTGCTGCTCCGTTTTCCAGGTGTTCTCCGATCCACTTGAGCATGGGAACGGTGACGCCTAGCCGCCGAGGTCTCTTGGCTGACATCCGCTCCAAGGAGTTGAGGACGATCCACAGTCTGTGCATCTTGTTGGTAGAATCTCCATTGTGGGCGTCCTTCAGCGCAAAAATGGCCTGCTTCATGGTCGCCACTGTAGTCCCAAGCCAGCCCAAATAACCCAAATAGCCCAGCACCTTGTTCTCGTTGATCACTGGGTCCGCCTTGTGGTCCAGGTAGGGTGTCAGCCAACCTTGGCGTTTTGCCCAATCGCACCACTTGCCCCAGGCTGCTTGGTAGGCTCGCTTCGTGCTCGGCGCCTTGTCGCCGTTCATATGATCGTCGAGCCACTCTTCGATCTGTGCCTGGATGTTCATGTCGCCGACAATGCCCGGTTGCAGATAGATGACCTTCTCGGCCTCTTTCTTCCCCGCCTCCGCTGCCTTTCGACGACCTCCTGCTTTGACATCCTCCTCTTCGGGAAGTGTCTCCAGCGCATGCAACCACAGATCTTCGCCCCATAGCCACACCCGTTGGCCCTCGTCTCCTCCTGCTCGTCGATCAGGAAGAGCACGACCATATTCGCCCTTGCGCCATCTCCTGAGCCATCGCAGAATCTGTGCCACGGACTTCACATCCTCAAAGTCCCAGCACATGCCCGCCTTTTTCTCATGTCCTTTCTGGACATCCATCATTTCCGCAGCCACGCTGAGCAAAGACAAAGCCGTCCTTCGCCCGGTAGCCGCGCACCCTTCTCGCATCAATGCTTCTGCCCCAAGCTCGGCCTCCAGCTGCTCCCACTCTGTGACCGACCTGCCTTGCGCACACCACAGCTCCCTCCAAGTGAGTCGCCGCACTGTCCCAGGCTTGGCTCCCTTGTCCGTCACATAGATGTCCTCAAAGCTGCCGCCTTCTCGCGCCACCAAAGGCCACCTACCCGGGCCGCTCAAACGATAGACCACCTTGCGCTCCGGTGAATTGCCAATCCACACATGAGCTCCCACCACCGGGAGCATCGCATGATTGCCCTGCCCCATGGCAGGTTCATACTTCTCATAATACACCAGATCCTCCACTTGGCTGGGTTTCAGTGCTGACCCAATGGAAGGAGGAGTAACCGTTCTCGCAAGCCACCGGTCAACTTCATCAGGGCATAGGTCTCGACAATGATGTAGGATCACCGCAAACCTTCTTCGTGCCAGCAGCTCCCCCAACTCCGATGTCAAGTACTCCAGCTCTGCAATCTGCCAACCTTCTGCTCGACCACGTTGCTTGGCTACATCCCACGCGACATCCCTGGGCCCTTCCATCACCACTACATCACAGGTTTCCTGCGCCAAGAACTCAAAGAAGCGGCCAACCTTGGCACCCCTCAGGTCCGGCCCAAAAGATGCTGCCACCACTCGGCCTCCGCTCGCTCCAGGGCTCTGGTAGTGCTCAAAGTCCTTCACTCGCCGCTCACTTGGGGCCCACTCGCAGATCTGAAGAGCATCGAGGCGCCCCGGGCTCCGATGCAGGGTTCGGAACATCCGCAACTCACGTAGCCGCATCATCTCCTCCCTGTCCTCGACCTCCGCCCACGATAGGATTCCGTGTCCTGCAGCGCCTCCATGATGCTCTGTCGAATGTTGACCCACTGCCAACCCTTCTTCTGCACAAACCCGTCTGCCTCCGCACTCGTCAGCCTGGTGAGCGCGTCCGCATCGTCATTGTGATAGGTTCGCCACCAGCCCCCCAATATACGGCATCGGTACCGCATCTCCACCATGTTGAGCACTCGAACCAATAGCCTTCCAGCCCGCACTTTGCTCTTTCGCCCATTGACCCAGTGGTAGACCACCTAGTTGTCGCCACCGTAGACCACAACCTTTCCTACCCACTTGGGCCCCATCTTGCAAGCAAATGCCACTCACCCAAGGTGAATCGCCAGTTTTTGGTCCATGCCCAGCTCTTCGCTCTCAACCACTCGTTGGATCCATGGTTTAAGCTGCTCCAGCTCCTCCCTGCACACATCGCCATGGGTCTGACGAGACAAAGACCACTTGCCTCAGCTGTCCCGGCAGCGCCAAACGCTCCATCGGCACCAAGACCTCCCGGATGTCACCTCCGAACTTCTCGGCCCACGTCTCCGATCTCGCGCACAACCATCTGCAGTCCTCGAACAGATCCCAAAGATCTTCCCATGCTTGTGCTTCTCGACTTGTAGCGCCCTCCTCCACTCGAGGCTTGACGATCGCGGACCCATCCACACCACTCAAGAAGACATCAGCCGCCTTCAGCTCATTTTTGAGGCCGCCCACGATCGTAGACCACCCAGTTGCGATCCCACGGAAGCGTTGAAGCCCCTTCAAAGTCAAAGTTTTCTCACCAAAACTGTACTCTGACCCTTGCAGTAGATAGGCACCCTTCAGGACTCTCGCCTCCGGGAGAGACATCCGCTCAGTCTCCGTGTTGATGGCCACGCCCCATACAAGCTGCTCCGGGCCGTAGATCCCCTCCTCAGCGTCCTTCACAGCGTTGACTGCTTTGTCGCCCAAAAAGCTTCATCACCGCCCACTGATATGTCTCTGCGCTGATCCATGGTCTCAGTCCCAAGCACGGTTCAACAAGCACCATGTCGTCCACCAAGATCTTGCCGTCGAAGTTCCTTCTCGCATCAACAGGTGCATGAACCCTGTGAAGCTCCTCAGTTGCTCTGCCCCACAGCGTCCATTCGCCTGGGGATCCACTGAAACCAAAGCTCGACACCAAGTAGAGCAACGTCAGCCCTGAGGGATCCCCCGCTTTTGCTGTGCCCCTGCCGCTGCCCATTGACTCTGGCTCCCACGGAAGATCACCTCCAAATAGTTCCACATCCCTTGGGTCAACCCACAAAAGCCTGAATGCCCCTGCCACGTCCTTCTTGGCCATGACCACATTGACTCCTGGGTATCTTGCTTTCAACCACAAGATGTGGCGGATGATCTGTTGGTGGAGCGGCTGCACGGCTGGGGGATGTAGATCCTTGTCTGTCCCGGCATTGACCAAACGTTGGTCGTGCACCAAGCGCACCTCCGAGGACAAAGTTCGGTTGGGGAGCATCTTGGGAACCGCTTCAAAAGGTGACGAGACCGCATGTTGCAGCCCCGGGTGCAAGTGATTGACCACCAAAACCCTGTGCTTGCTGACATCCTTCATGAGCTGCTGATACACCTGCGGCATATTGGCTCTTGCACGTGGGTGAGGCCTTGTTTTCACTCGAGACCTTTCCCCCACATACCGTGCAGGCATGCCTTGAGCTCTGATCTCCCCCAAATAGGCCAGCCAATCCTCATGAAGCAATCCATCGAGGTCGTGGTCGTCAATGCCCTTCAGGTTGTTCTGGTCGAGCTTCTCCCGCGCAATCCATAAGGCTTTCGCAGCGTTTTCTTACGCTCCCCGTGCACCTCAACAATCTGTCGCCGCCATGACATACCTTTCGCCACGTCTCAACCTCTGCATCCTCAATGCCATCGATCAAACGGACATACTCATAGGCTGCGTCCTCGACCTCTGATCCAAAACCTTCGGCCGCAAAATCGGTCCACATGGACCCTCCGGCTGTACGATCGCCGCCATCACAATGTCCACCTCCGCCGTTGCTCGAACCATGACAAGACTCGTTCCCGCCGTCATACGCAGCCATACCTTCGAGGTCAGGGCATTCTTGATCGCAAAGACGTTCTTTGTCACCTCTCTGCGCTGTACCGTCTGAATGAGGGTGTACTTGTGAAGCTTGACATTCCTCAAGGTGGCCTCGGACCGCATCGTCTGGGTGAAGGCATACTCGTTGAGCTTGGCATTCTTTAAGGTGGCCTCGAACCGCAGCGTCTGGGTGAGGACATTCGGTGTCTCCTAGGCATTCTTTCGGACCTCGCCGCACCGCATCGTCTAGGTGATGACATTCAGTGTCTCGCTCCGAACACTCTCCACCACCCCCTACTCTGCCGTCTCGCTGCTCACCTTCACTCGGCTCCGTTGGCACGGAAGCAGGGGAGGATTCCCTCCCTTCCTCAGTGGCTCCTCCATCACGTTCTTCATCCTCATTCGTGTCGTCTCGCTGGGTACCCAGAGGCGGATCAAAGGGAAACTGCGCGGGGAGGCTGGTGTCGCGGAACAGGAAGACTGTCGTGCCTACCCACCACACTGGAAAGGTCCTTCGCATTCTCCTTGCGCCCGCCAATCATCCATGATCTGCCAGGCATCCTCTTCATCTCGTGGCTCAAAAGCTCTGTAGAACATAGTGAACCTCTCCCTCCTGAACTGCGCCGGGAAGTAAGGGCTCCAGTCCCACACGGTAGCATTGCAAACCTTCTCGGCCGCCGATGCACAGCATGCCATCCTGGACCCATCATTGATCCTCGTCCTCGCTGGCCAGGGAGCTCTCGATAGGGGAGCTGAGACTTCCTCCTGAGCCTCCTTCCTCAGCGGACCCTTCTCCATCGCTCACTTCGCTGTCTGGCTCATCAACTTCAGACTCACCACATTCGTCGTTGCTCGTCTGATCACCACTGCTCGCACCATCATCAGGCCCTGGACCTTGTCGTTCTCCTTCACCTCTACTCTGCACTACCCCTCCAGCTTTGACCTGTGGCGGAATTGAAGGCCCTCCCCCCCACTGTCAAGAGGGATTGCAAGGCTTGCACCACTGCCTGGACAAACTGCGGGGCGTAGACCCCCGCTTCTGTGCAGCGTGTCACATCAGCACCCGGCCGGGCACCCTTCAGGGGAACGTGATGATGAGTTGGTGAAAGTCCTGGACAAAGTCGAAAAAGCGCTGTGCGAAAACCTGAATGCCTCGGAAACGCCAGGCCCGTGCGGTGGCGGTAAAAGTGCCGTCCATCCTGTTGATCTGCCGGGGCAAGGCCGTATCCACACATGTCAATCTCCAAGAAGTCCACGTCAGGGCGTTGCAAAATGCGCTGCCATGCTGGCAAATGCCACTGCTTGGGGTATCTCCCAGAAAGGCCAGAGCTTTCAGCGATTGGAAAATGGCCACGTCGAAGAGCTCGCTCGAACAAGGACGCCCCAAAGTTCGACAACGTATTGCCCATTGCTTCCTTCTCCGTTGGCTCGCCCATCGGTTGCTGAAATGTGCGGGTTCCTCCATTTTGCAGATTCCAATCACAGTAGGTTGTGCACGGACATGCAATCCACTCCACATTGAAGACGTCGTTGTCCACCTCCTTCATGACTTGGGCTTGGACTATGGAGTTGGCTAGGTCATGACTTTCCCTACGGCCCGTCCGCCGATGAGGATCCTCGTACAGCTCCACCTCTTCCAAAGCCACCTCCCCCGCTTGTCTCCACCCGGAGGAGATGACACCATGCCCAGCGAAGAACTCTTTCAGCACAAGACCAGAAGGACTGCTTGGCGTAGTGGACGGCTGTACCTTGAAAGAACTTCTCGCTGCTGCCTCCGGCAATGTACAACGCCAGAGCTGGCAGACATGTCTCCTTTCTCACAAACTATAGTGCTGTTCCCCCGCTCTCCGTGGGGGCTTGCAATGCCTGCACACCAAAGCTCCTGATGCTGTACGTGGCTGATCATGCCGCTGGTGCCAGAAGTAGTGAAAGCCCAAGCACGGTGTCGCATAGGCGTCCTGTTGTTGAAGCCACTTCAACGCCGCCTGTCGGTCCGGAGGAACCAGAAGCGTCATATGCCCTTTCCAAATGAGGGCCCACACGTCTGGCTGCCCTGACCTCCACTGTGTTCCCTGGATGATCTCGGTGAGCACATCGCCCTTGTAGTCCACCCGCAACACGATTCCCAAGAGCTTCGACAGGAAATGCGGCTATCGCTCGATAGTCCTTGTCATGGTGCGGCTTCAGGATGTCGTGGGTGTACATGCGGAGCTCGGGTTCTGCATGCCCCATCATAGACTCTGCATCCGCCGCCAGTCTCGCCTGTTCAAGCCGCAGGCCTTGTGCAAACTCCTCCACAGCCTTCATGCTTGGTACCTTCTCCTCCTTGGCCATGAGGCACCCTGCCGCGAGAACCTTCGTCACGCATTGTCTCTTCTCGACCTCCGGGTGGACTGCACCAATAAGGCCCGCCAGCTCCTCCGTCATGAAGACCTCCTCCTTGAAGTCGTACATCGCCCAACACGTACCATCGATCTCGACTTGTACACGTCCTGGTCCATCTCCATCCCAATGCGTAACGCCAACATTGCACCTGCGTCCTTGGCCAGCCTTTCCTTCATTGATTCCCTCCAGGATCTGTGCCGCCTCGGCAGCCAGCTCCCCCAAGCCAAACTGGTTCATTTCTCCCATCAAATCAACCAGCGTCACACTGGGGTCATTTGCCACAGGCGTGGAAGCCCACGCATAGAGATCGTCACTGGAGTCTTTGAGGGCTGAGAGAACAGGTCCATCAGCAAGACGTTGTGCTTCTCGTAGAAGACGTTGTGCATCCTCAGGTGCTGTCTCTCCGAGCCGGCCTTCGTGAGGTTGGCTGCTAGCTTTGATGTGCTCCAGCATCTTTGGGTTCGGCCCAGCCACCAACTGCGCAAACTCGGCTTCCTGAGGGGTGAAGTCGGTGCTCTCCATCTCCTGGTGCTTTCCATGTCACTCCTCCGGCTCGGCTCGAGTCGTCCTCTGTTTTCTTCTCAGCAGCGCCGCTCCCAGTGCGATCCGTTCCAGCTCTGCGTCTGTCTTGGCCGTCCTGCACCTTCGCTGCCTTATCCTTTGTCACATGCGCGCGGAGCTCCTTGATCTTCTCAGCTGCGCTCTCTTTGGACTCCACCTTCATGCGTTTCAAGCCTCCTCGACGAAGCAGCTGCATCCTCACAGCTGGATCCAAGCTCTCGAAGGTGCCCTTGAGGTTCTCATGTGCCCGCTGGCATCCCTGTTGGTTGCATCCCAAATGCGTCAAATAGCCCCAACAAAGAAGACGGCCATCGGCTGCTGTAGGAGCTCGATCCTTTGCACGATTCGTCTCCTCCGTGGTCATCTTGGGCCCCAGAAGGCTCTTCACTGACAGAGAGGAATCCCCTCCTTTCGGTGTAGTGGCTCCTCCTGCTGCAGCATTGGCTCCTCGCTGTTTCGTGGCCCCCTCCCACGTCAACTTCCACAACAAACGTTCTTGGCGACGCTCAATGCGTGGGAGGACCTCCGTAGCAAACCACCCATCTGGGTGATTCAAATCAAATGTCCGTGGAAGCTGCAGTGGTGGCTTCCCTTGGTCATCCGGCATCAGGGCGTAGAACTTGAGGTCAGAGAGCTGCATGGTCTCACGTCCACTAAGGGCTTTGATCTTCCTCAGCTCTGACTTGAGTTCTTCGACAAACTTCCAGTGCAATTCTTCCCAAACATCAATGATCACTTGCAAGGGCCACTTGTGCGGTGCCTGAGTGTGCCATGAGCCAAGAAGGTCGGCCGTGTGGTCTCTGACAGGTTTCCACTCCCTTCCATACACCAGCGCCCATATGTCATTCTGCCTCTTGACCCTGTTCAGCCACTCCTCAAAACGTGTAGGCATCGCAGGGCGCTGCTCCTTGATCACCTTGCCAGTGCGGCTCTCCATCGCGAAGTTGTCGAGCTCCGCATCGCTGCACGCCACGAAGTCAGCCGCTGACAATGCAAAAGCCTCCTGCGTCCCCCAAAACGGTCCGGCAATTCCAATGGCCAACCTGGTAGTCACCTTCTGCCTGAACCCATGCAGCGCTTCGGAGTTTTGTTGATGCGCTAGCCTGTGCTGACAAAAGGGCTTGCGCAAGGTTGGCACCATACTCGCCTTCTCCAATCTCCACCGTGTACTGACCACAAGCTCGAAGGAGGAAAACAAGTTCTTCCGATGCCCTTCCAAGAGACTTCATCAACCCACTCGGTGCTGCTGTGGTCTCATTCTGCGCTTTGACCAAAGTCGCCAACTCCGAAGTCTGCTGCTGGATGGCGCGAGCCAGTTCTGCCATAGGTTCCGACCCTCCTCCAGTTCCTGCTTTCCGGTCCTCTTGTCCATAAATTCCAGGAGGTGGTAGCATCACCAGCTGCTTGACGGTCTCGGTGTTCACCTCGGCAGGGCTACTCAGAACGTCCTCACGAGCCTTCTCTGGTGTAGACGTCTCGGTCTGTGGGGTCCCAATCAAGCTCCAAGAAGACGTCATTGAGCTTTGCGGCGTGTCTGCAGCCAACTGCTTCCTCCACTTCGCCAAAAACTTGGTAAGGCCCTTCGTCCCTTTGCGCTGCTCCTCCGTGGCTTGCCCGTATAGAGCATCTGTGTGAACTCCCGCAGACCCATGCCATATCTTGCCGCCAGCTGATTGCGCACGTCCTCCTCGTCAAGGCCAAGCTCCTTGCCATCCACGTACTGCTCCATGAACTCTTCAAGGGTAGTCTGGACGGTCATGCGATCGGGGGAATTGACCATTCCAAGCTTGGCCAAACTACGCTGCACTCCCGACTTGGGTGTATGTCCAGGCGAGGCACGCCGCCGTGCACGCTCCTTGGGCTTTCCTTGGGAGTCGTCGTCCTGGCGGATATCGTCCAGCAAGTCCTCCACATCGGTCTGGCCTCCATCATCCACATGGGCCCGGGGGCGACGCCGAAGTGAACTGCGTGGTTTCTCTTCCTCCTCCATGGGATCGTCACCCTTCTCGCATTTGGCTCTAGACCTCGACCGTGAAGACCGTCTCGTGCTCGCATGCCTAGGCTCGCAAGCATGTTCTTGGCAAAGTCGAATCCCTCCGTCTCCAGCAGTTCCCAGGTGCGTGCAATCAGCCATGACACACTTAAGTTGGAACCTACCTTTGAAATACTCAATTCCATGTTTGGGGCACAGTGGAAAGCTAGACAAACCTACCGGAACGTCCTCTGCAAGAAGCTGAGCATCTGTACAATCAGAAGCTGTACACGCGCGTTCTGCTAAGCACCTACGACCTGTCGCCTCTTCCCACCAGATACGATCGGCGCAGCACCGAACAGTTTCTGTCTCGGATTCAGATGCATAGTCCCGGACTCGCTTTGCTGCTTTCGACGCCCCTCGCCCAAACCACTGGACAAAGACAGCCCCAGCTTCCTGCGCACCCTGCGTTGCCGCAGCCAGCTGAAACTTCTCCGCATTGAACTGCTTCACAATGGCGTACTCCTTGAAGTGCTGGCCCTCCTCGTTGCAGACTTCGTTCCTGCACAGATGAAGGCGGTCATGGCCCTTCAAGCATGCGACCAAGGGCCCGTCACCTCGCAAGGTCTCCACATCGTGATTCACGTAGAGGCCAGAAGACTTGATACTCGTGGCATCGCTGATGCGGAAGACGGCAGTGTGACCATCCTGTCGAACAACGATCCATCGCTCGCCATCTGATCCCTTCTTCAGCTTCCGCAAGGCCGCGGTTTCGGGTGTCTCTCCAGTTCCTGGACCAAAGAAAACAGCGTCTGCCGCCTCTGGAACTCCGCCACAGAGTCGCTGCAAGGCGTACATGACCCTCCCGCAACACTTCAGGGTGGTTCGGCCCATCCAAATAAAGGTGACCGCGATGCCCACCACTATGGAAACAATCGGCCAGCACATAGCAAACAGGTAGTGGATCACAATGCAAATGGCTAAGAAAATTCCAACCCTGATCAACAAAGCAAAACCACTTCGTACCTGCGTCCATGCCTTTCCGAAAACCAGCCAGCCTAACGTGCTCACTATGGAATCCAACAGCGTCCAAACCCAGCCATCCCAACTAGCTGAGGACCATCCAGCTAGATATTCCGTGGAGTCAAAAAGGTTGCCAAAGGTGGTGTTGTTCCAGCCGTCCATGGTGCGGTTGTACATCCACTGCGCATACTTTCGAGGCTCTTCCCATGCATTCGGTGGCTCAACCGGTTTGTCGGTATTAGTCCACCACCCAGAAATGCTAGGGGCGAGAAGGCAACATGTGGCAAGTCGAAAGAAACGAAACATTGCCCACACCAACTCAAAACCTAATCACCGGGGCCAAAACCTACACATGCTACAACTGTTCTGTGCCCCAAAGTAACGGTTTGAAAACCTCCAATATATATATATATATATATATACATAGGTATATTCAATATATATATATATATACATATGTTTAGATTAAATTAAATACGAAACTATCTACGGTGCCCCACGTTCCCTACCACTGGTTGCTATTGATAGCTCGCGCAGCTCCTTGCGGTCTCCTGATCCAAGGACTTTGTCTCCGACTGGATTGCTCAGGAGTGACAATCATTCTGAGAAACTGGGCAGCAAAATGGATCAAGTAGAGAGGAACAGCAGCGAAAAAGATAGCAGCTGAAGGCATTTCGCTGCTGCACCAGATGCCTTGACAATTTTTCTCAACAGCTTGCCGCTTGACCATTGTTATGCAAAAGCTGTCATCAGCTCTTTCTAAGCATCGCCGGCACAGTCTGGATCGTGCTCCGCTCAGCCCAGGGCGCAGATTTCGAATACAGGAGGGTTTTCTTTGCAGTGGCCTTAGCTTTGTGCTGATTTGAATTCTCACTGCACTCAGCTGGGGCAGTGCATTGTAAGCTTGTGTGAGCCATGCCGCAGCTGGCCTGTTTTGCAAGGTTCTCTGAAGAGATGAGGGTAGCTTGCCTTATAACTTATGACCCAAAGACTGCCAAAGACTCTGTTTATATAATTATTCATACGCTAATATCTCATTATGTCTAATCACAAATGGCTGCATGATTGTTTAAAGCGAGGGGCATAGCACATCATAGCACTGCCGAGGAAAGTTTAAAGCACATCGTCCGCAAAGTTGGAAACACCATGTCCAAAGATTCCAAAGATTCCAAAGATTCCGACCTCGATGACATCGACGACATCCACCAGATCCACCATCCCCTTGCAAGCGCCGCAAGCACAGCCAGATCAGTCAGCGCGGGGAATATGAGGACCTCAGCGGCTGCGGCGTCTCGGCTTCTCCAATAGCTGCCATAGCACATCTTCCAGATCATCTTCCTGAAGCTTACCCTGCTGTTTCACTGTGTTCACTTAGTCCACTACGCAGCTGGCCACCCTGCACACACACACAGTGGTGGTGGATTGGGGACGAAAATGGACCTGTGTTTGTTTTGATTCTTTTGGCGAGCCTCAGATTGTTTATATAAAGCACGTCTCAGAGCATTCATGGTGCCTATACTTTGGGATTGCTTAGCTGTGAAATCATTACCCAGGGCCCTAAGTCACTGTTGTTGGAAACTTTTCACTGGGGACTAGTTTCCAGCATTGCCGTGAGGCATTTCTTGAGAGAACATAGCGGACTTTGAAGTGACTACTTGTCAGCGGTCAGCTTGCCATTTGTGATGCGAACTAGAGTCAGCCCTTCCGGCTACGCCAAAGGATATTCAACCATATGTGAGCCAGCTGACCAGATTGCGCCCCCCATGTGCAAGCGTTTGCGGCATTGTATTTCTGCTTGAGCCGAGGCCAGTACGAGATTGACGCATTCGTTGCTTGTCAATTTCTTGAGAAGGGTGGTTGGGTCTGACTTAGATACCTGCATATCATATGCAACTGTCTGACTTTTTCTGACACACTGGACTTGCATATAGCAATATAGCCTGTCATTTGCAGAAAATGAGGTGACCACCTTCCCTAGTACATAGCCAGTCTGCATATCAGTAGGATAATGTAGGCAGAGGCATGGTGGTGACAACCCTGTCCAAATTCTCATGCACTCGCTGAGTGGGCAGTTCCAGGTTGACCCTGACTCGACGCGCTGAATTCTTTTTGCAAGGTTTGGACATAGCCAGCTGAGTGAAGGCAGACGTCTCATCCACGTCAATGGCAATCGGTAATGCGGTCTTGAACTCCCTTGGTCTAGGAACAGATTTGGAGGTGGAAGTAGTATATATCCAGGATGAACAACCCACAAATTTATATGCTAGAATTACTCACTGCAAGAAACCCAGGTAAAACATATGTTGCCTTCACACCGTTTACCTTGGCAGTTGTGGCATTCATGTACAATACATATCAATTGGCCCGTTATGGCCCAAATGCCCCTTGCCAGGAATTCCTTCCGCCAAATAGCCTCACAAAGGCTAATCCGCTACTTGTGCCGTAGGCCTTTCTGCGGAGGCCACTCTGTGCCGAAAAGGTGCTGCGCTGCTGCTCTTCATCGTGAGCAAGGTTGACACAGCACAAATCGAGAAGTGCTACACCAAACAAACGAGACAAACTTCTAAGGCTACCAGTTTGCTCTCTGCATTGGTAGCGGAGCGTGGCGACCAGTGCCCGCTCTCGCAGCAACTACGACGTCCTCTACTTGGACTACCACTTCCTGATGGCTGCTTGGGATCCTTCTACATCATCTACTTCGCCTACCACCACTTCCTGGTTTCTTGGCCTTCTACGTGGACAACCTGGACGAGCACTACATCCTGAACTTTGACAACATGACCACGCTTCAGGCGAAGGACATCTACGTGACTTGGGATGGTGATCAAACTACGTGGACCGACTACACCAGGAAGGTGAGGCTTCAGTACGAGAAGACGGAGCGGCATCTCGCCTCACTGGACGAGCATGGACGGTGACGGCGGAGCTGGACTACTCGAGACTCAGGAAGTACCTCCTGGAGTTCTTGCGCTCCAGACTATGTCAAACAGCTGCTCCTGACGCTGGGGCGAGGCTTGAGGAGTTGCTCATCAAGCTCAGGCGACCGCCTGGAATGGGCTTTGCACAATGGAGTGCAACGCTCTTGGAGAGCTACCGCAAGGTGCAACGCTCTCTGATCAGAGCTCGTGCCCGAGCAAAGCCTGCCAAGGAGGAGAAAGTGGAGCCCAAGACAGAGAGGAGGACAGCATCTGAGCCGCACTCAGAGCCTGCGTCACCAGGTAGCCCTGGTGGACGCGCACGACGGAGCCCTACGACGTCCTCACCTGCGCATGGAAGAGTACCCGGTCCCGAAGAACCTCAACAAGCCGATCAACCAGAACAAGGAGACGGACACCATTATGATGCAGTACCTCAAGAAGATCCTGATGGAGAAGGTGACGGCCAAGATTGGACATCATGGTACAACCGATGGACGCCTGAACAATGGCGTGAGTGGCTGAAGGAGACCAAGGACAAGGAAGCCGATGAAGAAGAGTCCGACGAGGAACTACGTTGGGACGAGCTGGAGATGGAAGAGATCGAGGTGCTCCCCGACGAGCTGTTGGGCTGGCTTCTTCTTCGACGAGCCAACCTTCCTGCTTCGGCGAGGCTTGCAGTTCAAGCTTCAGTTCAAAACTCCTTGAAGTACCGCGACATCGAGAACGCCCTACGTGACCAAGAAGAAGAACTTCTACATGGAGATCTACATCGCCAACAAGCTCATCGACATCGACGCACGTTTTGGGCCGAGGAAGATGGAGCTTGGGGACTACTTGCACTACAAGATGAACAACAAGATGAGGCAGTGCAAGAAGTGCACTGGGTTGGAAAGTCATTACCTCCTGAAGTATATCATCCTACGGACAAGACGCGCATCGACGAGGGTGACGAGGAGATCTACTGGTCCTGGGAGATGGATGGATATCATGGCTATGTCCAGGACAACTATGGCCAATGGTTTGAGACCGACGGATATGGCAACTACTGGACCTCCGAGACGGGTGACTACGAGGGTCTCACAACCGACCAAGCCAAGGAGTTGGACGAGGCTTATGCAGCCTATGAGACAAAGGCGAGAACTTTCCAACAGAGCCGACAGTACCAACGAGCCAAAGATCAATCCCGTGGCTTCTACCCCATGAACAAGGGCAAGAAGGGCAAAGGCAAAGGCAAAGGCTTCTATCGGCCTCAAGGACGCGGTGGTGTTTCTACTTCGTCTACAACATCTTCATCTATGTCTAAGACATCGGTGATGAAGTCTGAGGAGGTGATGGCAGCAACTGGAAACAACACTGGTTGCTTCCTCTGTGGGGAAAAGACTCACGGATTCCGTGACTGCCCAAGACGCTCAGGTCAAACCTCAGCGCCTCATGCTCAACGTGGCAAGGGCAGTACCTCCTACATGGTCGAGAACCTGAACCCTTCAAGCTTGATCTTCATGGGGGCGGACAACCAGCCCGTGACCCCTCTTCAAGTACAACATGACACAGCTGGCTTTGGTGTGCTCGACTTGGGCGCAACCGAGACTGTCGGATCCCTCGAGGCCATTGAGAAGGTTCTACACCGTCGACATCAACTTGGACATCTACTTCCTGGAGATCATGATGAAGTTCGAGTCATGCCCGAGGCCAAGAAGATGTTTCGCTTTGGGAATGGTCAGGTGAAGCAGAGCGAAAGCTATCTTCTACTTCCTCAACATGTTGGCGCCAAGAAGGTCCTCTTGGGCATCTACACCCTCATGGCGGAGAAAGTGCCGATCCTCATTGGCATGCGCACCTTGACCAAACTTGGTGCGATTGTGGATGTGACTGGTGGCTGGCTTGTGCTCACCAACGTCGATGCCAAGATCAAGATACCCCTGCAGAAAAGCGCTGCAGGTCACTTGCTGGTGGACCTTACCCAAGACTGGTTGGCACAAGGTCAACCCATGGCATCTTCCTGTGGTCGAGTATATATGGTGCAGCCGCTGGGGGATGGGAGTGACAACAATCCACATTCAGAAGCCATGCAATCGAGGTCACAACAAGGTGTTCAAGGTTTCAATCTTTCAGTGATGTTACAGTCTGACATGTTGCAGTTGCTCACACACGATGGTGCAGTGATGATGAATCATGGAGATGGACGTCATGATGATCAAGTCCTTCAACTTTGTGAAGATGCTACAGTTTTGGTTGTGGATCAACATGGACACCATCAACCTATGCATGTTCCATCGCAAGAACTTCGGGATCAAGTGATGTCTTCGCTGGCCCACGATCCCTCGACGACTGGTCCTTGCCATGGCACCGAAGAAGGCATCGACCAAGGTGGAGAAGCCCCCACCGACGGAAGTCTACGACTACTCCAAAACCCAGTCAGCGGATCCGCGGGATCCGCGGACGACGGGCGCCCCATGTTTTGGGCATCACAAGGTGGCCAGACCGCGGCCCGGCTCCAAGTCGGGGTCCAACCGGTATGCAATATGGGAGGCATGCGAGAACTGTCACCTTCGAATGTCTTACACCCCCGCATTCGGGGCGACGGGGGCCACCCGCAAAGCCGGTCCCTTGGACAAGGACACGGCACAGGCGATCTCCAAGCTGCCGGCCAACGAGCTGCTGGGCAACAACCACCTGAAGAACGAGAAGATCTCCCTGGACGGCGCCGAGGCCAGTCTACTTCGAAAGTTGGAGAACGTGCAGAAGAAGAAGGCCGAGTTCTGGAGTTCCCTCAGCACCGACGAGAAGTTCCAGAAGATCGTTGGCATGCGAGAAAAGGCCAAGACCAAGTACAAAGAGTTCATGGACTTGGAGAAGCTGAGCAAGGCCATGAACATCAAGCCAATGGCTGCCCGAGCCTACCATCCTGGCGACCTGGTCTACTACAAGCGACATCAAGCTCCTGCCGAAGGACGAAGTCATCAGAAGCTGGATGTGCCGAGACGACAAATCTCGAGATGGTTTGGACCAGCCCGGATTTTGGGGCTTGAGACAAAGGTGACCTATGAAGGCCAAGTGAGACAGCCTCACCGAATGGCCTGGCTCATCAGTCAAGGCAGACTGAAACGAGTGCACACAGACCAACTACGGCATGCTTCAAAACGCGAGAAGCTGACCAATGAGGAGTTCCACGACATCCTGGCCACACCCTGGACGTTCACTGACGTGACCAGCGTGTTGGACAAGGGTACCTATGACGACCTGGTGGAACTACCCCATCTTCAACGAGGGCGACCTCATGATGTCAAACCTCGGCGTTCTCCCAGCCGTGGACGTGGTGGACAGAAGAGAGCAAACTCAACTTCAAGACCACGCAGTGCACCTCCAACGAAGGCCAAGACTGAGGAGACGGTCATGAACGACAGACCTCCGAGCGAGCCCTACGAGCCATCCATCGCGGAGGAGTTCATGCCTGATGATCAAGATCTACCTCCAGTTCCAAGTGATGATGACTTGGAAGGTCCTGAAGAAGTTGACCTGGACCGCCTGCTGGGCGACCCGCACTACATGCCACGAATGGAGCCTGGACCTCCAACTGGTCCCCTCTTCGAGCACGAGCCCTTCCAACGTGCACGAGCTCGACATGAACGAGACGAAGCTCAGAGGATGAAATCCATGCTGAGCCGTGGCAGTGCTGGTGCAGCTATGCTGGTTCAGGAGGAGACCTTCGAGGACAACCTGATCTACGCCATCACGCTTCCCATGCCGGAAACTGCAGCACAGTGGAAAGCCATTGTGAAGGACCCGGCCAAGTTCGTGGGGAAACAAGTTGCCAAGGGAGTTGAAGTATCTTGGCACAAGCTCAACAAAGAACAACGAGAAGCCATGACTGAGGCGAAGCGTGTGGAGATCAAAGAATGGGTTGCATCAAAAGTTTGCCGTGCTGCAATTGGAGAAGTTGACCCAGAGCGCATCATGAAAATGCGTTAGGTGCTGACGTTTAAAGGCGTTGATGACGCATGTGAAAACGGTGGTGATGGGACAGGAAAAAGAATGAAGGCAAAAGCAAGGTTAGTTGTGCTGGGCTACTCTGACCCTGATGCTGGTGACCTCAACACCAAGTCACCAACTATGTCACGCCGCAGCCGACAACTACTACTCCAATTTTCCACTCATCGAGGACTACCACTTCTCAAAGCTGACGCCAAAGCAGCATTTCTTCAAGGACTCGCTACTCAAGGGCAACGTTCCATTTTTGGCAGGCCAGTGGAGGAGTTACGACAAGCAATGGGTTTGGATCAACACCAACTCATCCAGTTCCTCAAGGCTGCCTATGGATTGACGATTGCTCCTCGAGAGTTCTACATGATGGTCAACGACACCCTGGAGCGACTTCAACTACGACGGCTGAAGACCGACCCGTGTCTCTGGCAGTATGTGGTCGAGGAGGATGGCAAGCCGAAAACATTGGGCATCATTGGATCCCATGTTGACGACTTCCTCATGACGGGCTACGAGAATGACCCGAGGTGAATCGACGTCCTCGAGAAGTTCCACGCTTCTATGAGATGGAGCCCGTGGGAAGCGCCGCCTCTCAATCATTGTGGAGTACGACTTCACCAACTACCAGACTTCAGCTGGCGCTTGGATCAATCCGACTACTGCAACGAGATCAACCAGATCAAGCAGGAGTCCAACCAGAAGGAGCTCACCCCGGAAGAACTACATCAAGCACGAGCAGTTCTGGGTGCAGTACAATGGCATGTGTACCAAACAGGTCCGCAACATGCAGCAAAGCCCAGTCCATGCTGACCAAAGGTGATCGCTCTATGGTGGAGGGCATCAACAAGATGGTTCGAGAAGTTCATGCACAGAAGGAGCTGGGACTTCACATCTACCAGCTCTGCGCAGAACGTGATGATGACCTCACTTTGGTGGCTTGGAGCGATGCGGCATTGGCCAACCGGCCAGACTTGGGATCTACAGGTGGCTACATCATCGGCTTCATGCACAAGCAGTTCACAACTGGACAATCACGTGGCCAAGTGAACGTGATGTCTTGGGGCAGTCATCGCCTCAAAAGGGTCTGCAGATCGTCGTTGGCTGCAGAAACACAGGCGCTGGCCGAAGCCGAGCAAGAACTCATGTACTTGCGAGTACAATGGTGGGAGATGCTGGGCCACAAGATCGACCTCACCAAGGCCGACGAGACCGCCAAGAATGTCAACGCGATCATCATGGTGGACGCAAAGGCGCTCTACGACGCTGCGAAGAATGGTGAAATCCAATCCGCTGGACTGAACCTCAAGGAAAAATACACTGCCCTCGAATTGATGGCGATCGTCGAGCATCTTGAGAGACAGTCGACGACCTTGAGATGGTGCAACAGCGATCAGCAGTTGGCTGATGGACTCACCAAGTCCAGTGCGCAAGAACGATTGAAGAAATTCCTCATGACTGGACAGCAGTGGTCGCTGATGTTCGACGAGAGTTTTACATCAGCGAAGAAGAAGCGCAAGATGGATGCACGCGAGACTGAGGAGGAGTTCACCGACGTGAGCTGGGTAAAATTTTCTCCAATGTCAAGGTGTTTCGGCAACGATCCCTGAGGTGTGCAAAGAAACCCAGGTAAAACATATGTTGCCTTCACACCGTTTACCTTGGCAGTTGTGGCATTCATGTGCAATACATATCAATTGGCCCGTTATGGCCCAAATGCCCCTTGCCAGGAATTCCTTCCGCCAAATAGCCTTACAAGGCTAAACCGCTACTTGTGCCATAGGCCTTACTGCGGAGGCCACTCTGTGCCGAAAAGGTGCTGCGCTGCTGCTTTCATCGTGAGCAAGGTTGACACAGCACAAATCGAGAAGTGCTACACCAAACAAACGAGACAAACTTCTAAGGCTACCAGTTTGTTCTCTGCACTCACAGACCCCGAGGACTGCCCAAGAAGACAGTAGCGTAAAAACCATTGAGTTTTTAACAACCTCAGACAAAACAGATGAAAGTGTGTTGATGAAGTGAGCATTGCATTGCGGCTTGCCAAGAGAACTGTGCCGCTATCAGCGTGACCATCAGCTGGGTATTGGGCCTGGGATTACACGGCCACCTCCATGTTTTCCTGGCATTTCTGGGGGATTAAGGCAATTAAGGCTTGAGCCCTGAAAGTTTGGCTCTTCCAGTAGTAGTGCGTGAGATCATCGAGACCTGTTCAGCAATGAGAACATGTGCTCAGGCTGGCAGCTGCACCCCCACAAGCCAACGTTAGGAACTGAGATGAAAGTTCTGAATGCAATGAAACGACATGAAACGGGATGAAATATGATGAAAGATGCGTTTTAAAAAGCAAGGGAAGTGAAGCCATCAAACATTGTGCATCATGGAGATAGATGGAAGCGTGAGGGTGCAAAACCAACCCCTTTTGCAATGCCTAGGTAGGCCAAGCCCCCGCAATCGGACCTTGCCAAGCTAGCCAAGCTACTGAATTTGGAGGAACTCGCTAGAAGTTGCAGTATCACCTGCTTGAAATCTGCAGCTTGCAATCACGCTTCTCCTTTCTGTGTCCCTTAGGTGCCCCAATTTGCATGGATCTATCGATTGTTTGATTTGATCATTTCTTGAACTATTTGGACTTAAGTTGGTGACTTTCTGGCCCAAAAGATGGACAGCTGTCAGAGCTTGCGGTTGCCCTTTTTTTCGTTGGAGGACCAGCGGTGGTGCAGACAAAGATGTGGTTAACTTCCAATGTGCGGCAATGATTTAGACAGAAAACAGAGGGTTCGACCGGTCAGATGACCTTTGCACGCTTTGCAATGCAATGAGGAAATGGCATGTGTTCAAAAATTGGACTGGGAGCAGGATTGTGATGGGGCGAAGAAGCCATTTCGGATTTCCTCTGAGAAAGTAGGCAATTTTCAAACAGACTTGCAAGAAAGCAACTGGAAATGACTGCACCAAGATCAAACAGCCACGGATGTTCAT